GAACCAGACCTGCCTGTTATTCTCTATTCCACTCTTCTCCACCCACACCAATTTAAAAATTTGAGAACTCCAACCCCAAAATTCCCTAGCCAGCCATGCTGGCTGGGGAATTCTGGGAGTTGAAGTCCACTCATCTTCAAGTGGCTGAGGTTGAGAAACACTGGTCTAGTTAAACTGAGAATAATGCATGATGGAACTGAGGGCAGAAGAGGCTCTGCAGTTTGTGGGAAGAAATCTTCCTAGAAACTCAAAAGTAGAAAAAAGCAATGGCAAACCACTTCTGTATTGTTGCCAAGCGAATTGTATGGAAATGGCTAAAACATTTAGACAAGCTGGAATGTCAGTTGATGAGATTGTCTGAATCAAAAACACTTCACTAGTTACTGGGGAGGAAAATTAAACATTTATTAGTAGATCTGGAGCTGATAACATGGCCAGGCCAAAGCCATAAAGAAGTCTGATATTCTTGGTGACAATATAGAAAAAGGAGCTCCTTGTTCTACAAGGAGAAATGCAATTGGAACATGGAATATAAGAAATATAAACCAAAGAAAACATGACACTCTCATAGCAGAAATGAAGTGCACTAAATTGGACATTAGTGGACATAGGCAAATTGGAATAGGTTCACCTAAGTACATAATAATATTCAGGGCATGAGATTGTGCAAAATAATGGAGTGGAAAGAATATTCATAGAGAACATTGCTGACTACATGTTCAACTCCAACCCAGGAAACAACAGGATCATATCTACAGCATTAGAATTAGTGGATACCAATGAAGAAAAAATTACATTTGTATTTAACCATAATTGGTTCTCCTTTGAATAGGGCATTGTTATTTTAGTCTTTTCTTCCTGTACATGGAAACTAAAATATCACTTTAATCATGTGCTGCAATATTCCATGCTTATGATCATCACACATTTTCTCAACCTTTCCATTCAGTTGGGGAAGGAGCATTTCCTTAGTGACAGAGCACCTATTTTGCGTTACAAAAAACTAGATTCAGTCTGAATTAGTGCTTGAATCCTTGACGAACCATTGCCTTTTGGAACAAGTGATTTGGTTTGGACTAACGATAAGGTAGCTTTGTATATTCACATATGTTCTAGATTGGGAGAAAGCCAGCTAAGGGAGGTGTCTGATTCCTATCTTAAAATACAGAGAGTTTTTGTGTTTAATCATATCCTATCTTGCAGTACTCAGTTTCAGTTGGTGATGCTGAAGCCCAAGGTTATTACTTTTTATCTTTCTATCATTGTCTGTTGCCCTGTAGTCTTGGAGAAACACTTAGTTTTAGTACATAAAGTATAAATATCTTTTGCATTTTTAATATCTTTGCCCATCATAGAAATTGAGACCAGTAGGTCATTTCCTGGCAAAAGAAGATTTTGCAGTACAATGCTTGTTCAATGCTTTGGGCATGATTATGATTTATTTTATATAATTCTTTAAAATTGTATTTTTATTCTGATATTCACCGCTATTAAATAAGCCACATAATATTTAGAGGGAAGGCTAAGTCAAATGCCACAGTTAAAGAAGAAGCAAGTCCTTACTTGAACATTGTTTGCTTGAGAAATACAGTTTACAGATTTTGCACATTAAAGACTTTTTGTTGGCTGTACTCACCAATTATTCTTACTAATTATATAAAAACTTCCACTGGAAAAAAGTCTTGGTCATGAATAAATAAACAAGAATATTCTTTCTATATTTAGGTATCATTCCTTTCTGTTGAAACATGAGTTTGATTATTCATATGGATTCTTTAAATACAAAAGCTTTTAATGCTCTTAATAATTGCATGTGTGTAACCAATAATAGTTTTATCCTGTTTGCTAGATGGTATTTTATAGGATCTCAATTTGCATGTTATTAAATGGGTATGTGTCTGAGCAATCTGGTTCATAACTTATGAAATTCAGAACATACATCCAGAAGTTCATAACAGTCTCTATAGTACCACGGTTTTTAATAAATGCTTGTCTGAATAATGTCTCAAGTAGATCTTCATAAGTAGCTTGCCATATTCCATAACTATGGGAAATCCATTCTGGGCTTTAGTATTGCCCCCGTAATATATTTTTCACAATGTTTGTTTATACTGAACTTTTCAAAAAGGACTGGCTGGCATCATGCTGGGCAGCTCAAATACTGTGGCACTCCAGGAATGTCCCTTTGCTGTAATCAAAGAGGGCTGCACAGAAGTGACAAGAATTGGTGGACATGCATTCCAGCAGGAAAATGTATTCTCCAGTTGAACAGGAAAATGACCCACTGTGCTGGAGAAGATTAAGGGATCAAATTTGGAGGAAATGCACACTTAACAAATATAGAACTTCGTTGGTTTGAAGAGAGACAGTGTATTCCATCTGTCTTAAATGATAATGAGACTTTTTACACCTATTTGCTTAGAAGTAAAATCTTTTTCAAGTGGAGCTTGACTCTGGTGATGTCATGGACGCAACCATGCTGGTTTCTTGGCAATAGTATGCACATACTTGGCCACTTCCGCCTCCTAGTTCTTCCCTCTAGTTTAAGCTGCGGCCCTGGTGTTTCTCGATGCTCATATCCAAGTTCTGATCAAGCCTAATTCCACTTAGTTTTGAGTTCAGACAAGGTTTTCCAAGTGCTATCCCATGCTCAGGGTAGGAACAGTACTTTTAAGTGTTATCTTTGGTTCCTGATTCTTCAGAAGATAATGGGAAATGCAAACAACATTTATGAATACATAAGTGTTATATTAGAAAGCATTGTTTTTATGGCAGACTGCATCAAAAGTCATTTTTCCTTCAACCCACAAGGTGTTTTTCCACACACACACACGCGCGCGCATGATTTTTAAAAAATGGCAAGGGATGTTTCAAATTTGTCTTTTATGCTCTCCAGTTTGTTTTTCTGGGAATTGGGTATTGTCTGAGGTTGGGCTCAACATGGTAACCATTTTGTAATGTAAAGATCCATGACATGTTCTCAAAATTCCAAATGTGATATTTGACCAAAAAGGTTAGAGATCCCAGTTTTATTTAATTCAGTTTAACTTGTAAGCATAGTTGTTCTTCTGCTGAAGAAATCACTGCCTTCTATACCTTGGCAATATGACACCCACATTAAAAAAAAAAATTGAATTTTCTCCAAATAAATTGGGAACAAGCAAGCCTTTGTTGCACTCCAAATATTCATGAATATTCTTATTGGAAGAAAAGTTCAAGGCTATATTGTGCTTGATTTGGTTTAGTTATTTCAGGACAGCAATGAATTAATTTTTCTGAAGAGGTTCCTTTCAAGTTGGTATGCATAGGAATATGCTTTGACAACCAAGGGGAAAAACTGCATATAAATCCATCTCTGTGTAGGCAGAGAGCAAGGATAGATGAGAAAATCTATTTGTTGCATAAACAGCATGATTCTGTGATGAGGATACAAAGGCTCTCAAATTATCATACTGTCTAGAGTTTATGGAGACGCAGCATGGAAAGTCTGCTTTACAGCACTGGGGGACGATCCATTGCAGTTTAGAAACAAGGCATTCCCTAGTATTAGGCATTTACTAATACTAATATCTCCCATCATGGGATATTCTGTTGAAGAACATAGTGGCAGTGTGATGTGTTGAAAACTGCTATTAAGCATTAGGGAAAAAAAAACTTTTTCCCAAGGATTTATTTAGTGTCCAATGCAAATGGTTATATAAAAATTTCAAGAAATCTTATAAAGTGCTTGGTCATAACATGCTACTTGCTGGCTTTGCATTTAAAAATAGATTTATTTTCTTGGAGAACAGTTTCAGTAGTTAATTAATTAATTGCCTATTACATATTCCTAATCTATTATAGTGGAAAACAAATAGGGTTTTATGGCACCATAAAGACTAGACAATATAGTATGTGAATATTTATGTCCTAATTGGTTAAAGATACCACACAATTGTTTCCCATTATACTAATTAAATATTATCAGTGTTGCATTCCAGGATTATGTAAATTAAATGTTATCATAGCAAAAATGTCCAGGTACACGTTTATATGATAAAGTGGGATAACATCTTTAAATGTCATTATATTTATGCTATTTATAAGGTTACCATAGGAAAAAAATATTGAAAATAGGATTTATTTTGGAGCAGCCCTGTAATTAAGCACATAGTTTGTACAAAAGTTGCTTGCCACAAGGCTGAGATGCACTTCTCAGTCATTAGATCTTTCATTCTCCTCTTCCTCTCCATTTATTGAGAGGTGGGTAGATTCAGAGACTGGAAGCAAGTTACTACACACACACTCCTCTGGTTGAACAGTAAAACTGGCTGCATACATGATATCCACTTTATTGTCCAGTTAATGGAAGAGTGGATAGGAAATGAAGAATGTTTCCACTGTGTTTGCACGCAGTCCATTTTTCTCTTGGAAGCAAGATCTCAGAAGCTTGAGAGGTAAAGCTAAGATTTCACAACTGAGTCCTACCAGCCCCCTTTCAAAACATGCATGTTGTGCTGCTGTAATAATATACTGTATGTGTGTATAGTGAGCCTTCAGTATGAATGAGCTAACTAGCTTTATACAATACTTTCTTTCTATGTATCTTTCAGGCAGCCTCACATAGGTCTGCTGAAATAGATTCTCCTTCAATATGTTTTAGTAATGTTCTGCAATGTAACATGCATCTATTGTGTTCCATAAATGTGTTATAATTAGAATGATCATAAATAATTTGATATGTCATAACACATAAATGACTATATTTTTACACAAATATAGGACCCTATTGATTATTTCATTGTAATTCTGTGTAAATGTATTTTTTTAAACAATCCTGGTTAACAAAGTACTTTTTTTTAACAGTGTCCTGGAAAAATTGACAGCATCAATGAAAGGGCTGACTCCGTCTCTCAACTGCAGACTGTTTGTAACATAGCTAAGAAAGGTATGTTCATTCTAATATTAATGGTAACAATCTGCTACTACTTGTTGCTATAATTAGGCATACAATAAAAGTAGAAAAATATATTTGTGATTACAGGTAGTCCTTGCTTAATGACGGTAACTGGGACCAGAATTTCTGTTGCTAAGCGATGCAGTCATAAAGGGCAATGTCACGTGAATGACCTCATCACTGTGATGGCAGTCCCCATTGTCATTAAGTGAGGTTTGTGGGCCATTAAGTGAGGACATCACATGCCCATGACTTGTGACTTCCTGCTGGCTTTCAATAAGCAAAGTCAATGGGGAAGCCGGCAGAAAATTGCAAGTCCTGGTCACAACAAGCCTTTCCTTAGGTGGTGGGCAGGTGAGTGCTATGGAGTGTGGGTGGGCAGCAGGGGTGGGCACTGTAGCATGGTGTGAGTGTGGGTGGGCAGGGAAGTAGGCGCCATGGTGTGAGAGCAGGCAAGGGAGTGGGCTCTGTTTCATGTGAGTGCAGCCAGGTGGGCAGTTGCCCACCTGGAGCCCTCACTCAGCTTGCCACCCAGGGACTTCTCATGAGAAAAAGTGGCGGGAGCAGGAGCAACTTATGGGAATGACTTGTGACCTTCCCCGCCAGCTTCCCCATTGACTTTGGCTTGTGGGAAGCTGGTAGGAAAGGTTGCAAATAGCAATCATGTGACCGCGGGATGCTGTAACCGTCTTAAGTGAGAGCCAGTTGCCAAGCACCCAAATCATGATCACGTGACTGCAGACACACTGCAGCGGCCACAACTTTGAGGACTGGTTGTAAATCCCTGTCATTCAGTGCCAATGTAATTTTGAAGAGTCGCTGAACGAGTGATCACTAAGCGAGGACTACCAGTATGAAGAGTCTGGGCAGTTTCTAAAGAGCATCTTGTTGTTTAAGTTCATAGAGTTTAACATAGCTCTTTGAGTGACCAAAACAGTAGCTCAAAAATCTAAATAAGAAGGACATGCATCTTGACTAATGACATAACTGCCCAGAGTCACTTCTTCGTGAGATGGGCGGTATCTAAATTTGAAATATAAACAAACAAACAAGCATGTTTAATGTATGCATCAATCTGTTAACTAGCAGATTTCAATTCCGAAGAAGAGTTTAGTAAAGCAATATTTACAGCATGAACTGTGAACTTCCATCTTCTAAATGTTGTTTTGCAATCAGCTTGTAAAGCCAGATGAGATATTTAATGATCCTTCGTAAATTAAGATACTATCCATGTTATGTCCGTTATGTAGCAACTATATTAGCTTGCAGGCCCAATCCAGCATTTTGCTGACTGTTTTTTTAAAAAACTAAACATTTTGAGTCCAAGATAAGGGAAATGCAATCATATTCCGTACTGGTTTATCTGTATGTCAAGATATTTTAGGTTTTTCATTTTGTCTAGTGATGGTTGAGGCATGGCTGGTTGGGACACAGAAGCCAGATTTTTCTGTGGCCACTCTGGGATTTCAGAATTCCATACTTGTGTCTTTATGACCCCCTTCCTCCCTCCTCTTTGCTCCCCACTGAAATTTTTAAACTTTCTAATTAGTATTTATCTTGCTGGGCTTACTAATATTTTTCCTTTGTTTTATCTATCTTTTTTATTTGTGCATGTTCTATGCATAAAGAAGAATTACATTAAACATCTATTGTTGATTATACGTAATAAAGACTCTCTGATACGCCCATAAACATGAATTTTCTTCCAACACAGTACAGCAGAGGGAAACGCCCCCAGCATCCCTCTATAGCTACAGAATGGGAATGGTCCAACATGTTTTAAGGATCACTGGGAATACTGCATACAATTTATGTATAAAAACTCATCAGATGTTTAGTAGAGACTAGACACCCATCTGTCTGGGATGCTTTAATTTGGATTGCTGCACAGAGGGGATGGGACTGGGTGGCCTAAATGATACCTTCTCTGATTCTGTAGTTGTCCTCCATTAAGTTATAGATAGAACGGGTGTATGAATACTCATGTAAACTGTGAAGCCAAACGGGGCTGAACCTGTGGCTTCTAGCTATGCTAACCATATTGGGTTAGGATTATAATTGATCCATATAGTCTAGGGGGATATTAGGGTGAGTATAGTGATCATAAATAATGATGGCTGTCATTAATGATCAAGATAAAATAGAGTCACTGCTAGTAGTGAAAAATCTGTCTGTCCAGGTGGTGTTCGCTTTATTTTGGGTGAGATCATGCTTCTGTATAAACAAGTTTTTCCTATAAATGAGCTAAAGATAGCTCTTTATATGGCTTTGGTTGCTATGTAGTTGAACTCCTTTGTTGGAGAGAGATGGCTTGACTGCTATTACCCATGCTTCAGTAATGAGTGGATTAGGAATGCGTTGTTTATGGGACTTCCCTTGAAAAGCATTTGTTTGACTCACCATCACAGCAGCCACATTGTTTACTAGCCCTGGCTGTCCTGGGCATATTATCAGCCTGGTATTCAAAGAAGTACATTGGCTATTGATTTGTTTCCCGCCTGGTTAAGGATTGATTTTAGTGTTTAAAGTCTTAAAGGCACTGGGACTAATGTGTTTGAAGGATCACCTTTCACTACATGAATCTCCCAGCAATTAAGATCTTTATTACAGGCCCCTTTCTTGTTCTCTTAGTTACTATCTTTTAGGCATCAGATGAAGTCTTTCCAGGGTTGTTGTTATTGCTGTGTCTTTTAATAGCATTTAGAATATACAGTGGAACCTCGGGTCATGAACGCTTCTGTTAACGAACTTTTCGGGTTACGACCAGCTCGGGCTGCAAAATTTTGCTTCGGTTTGCGAACTCCGCCTCGGAGTACGAACAGGATACGCGGCCATTTTCCCTCCCGTGACACGGTCCGCGGCCATTTTTCCGCCCCTGACACGTGGTCCGCGGCCATTTTTCCACCCCTGACACGTGGTCCGTGGCCATTTTCCGCCCCTGACACGTGGTCCGCAGCCATTTTCCGCCCCTGACCCGTGGTCCGCGGCCATTTTTCCACCCCTGACACGTGGTCCGTGGCCATTTTCCGCCCCTGACACGTGGTCCGCAGCCATTTTCCGCCCCTGACCCGTGGTCCGCGGCCATTTTTCCACCCCTGACACGTGGTCCGTGGCCATTTTCCGCCCCTGACACGTGGTCCGCAGCCATTTTCCGCCCCTGACCCGTGGTCCGCGGCCATTTTTCCACCCCTGACACGTGGTCCGTGGCCATTTTCCGCCCCTGACATGTGGTCCGTGGCCATTTTCCGCCCCTGACACGTGGTCCTAGGGAGGGGGACTCTCCT